TGAGAGAGATGGCCGCCGAACTTTCTGTATCTCACGAGTCGATCCGTACCATTTTAACAAATAATTTGGGTATGAAACGTGTTGCCGCTCGGCTAGTCCCAAAAGACCTGAATTTTCTTCAAAAACTAAATCGCATGAAAGTCGCTGAGGACATGCTAGAACGAGTCAATACCGACCCAACATTCATGAAACGCATTGTTACTGGTGACGAGACGTGGGTTTACGAGTTTGACATGCAAACTAGTCAACAAGCTTCGGAATGGCGCTTTCCAACTGAACCAAAACCGAAAAAACCACGTCAAAGTCGATCAAAAGTCAAAGTCATGTTGACTGTTTTCTTTGACTATCGCGGTGTTGTGCACTCAGAATTCTTGCCCAAAAGGTCAAACGGTAAATAAAGAATATTATTTGAGCGTTATGCGGCGTTTAAGAGAACAAATTAAGTATATCACAATTAATACACATCGTAAAGCTAAATGGATAACGCGAGGGATCAAGGCTTGTAGTGTTAAAAAACGTGATCTTCTTTGGCAATACAGGAAGAAACCCAGCCAGGTAAATAAAACTAAACTGACGGAATTTTCAAAAAGATATAAAAAAATAATTAAATTAACACAGCGCGCACAAAATAACCATTTAATTAACGCGTCAAATAATAAAAGTAAATCAGCATGGAACATTATCAATGAATCTAAACAAAATCTACCAATTGAGACTATAACTAGCATTAAAATAAATGACAAAATAATAACTGACCCCTGCGAAATATCTAATGCTTTTAACAATTATTTCATCGATAAAATAGTGCCTAAGAATGATTCACTCAATAAGCAGTATAAAACTTATATGTCTTCTAAGCAAAAGTCAATGTTTTTGAAACCATGCTTACCACTTGATGTTTTGCAGATTGTTAAGAGCTTAAAAAATACGAACAGTGTCGGTTATGATGGTATATCAACTAAGGTCTTGAAATATATAGCTATGAATATTTCTGCTCATCTATCCTATCTGATAAATCTGTCTATTGAGGCTGGCATCTACCCTGACAAATTAAAAATTTCTGTTATAAAACCCATTTTCAAAAAAGATATTGGAGAATGCCTCGAAAACTATAGACCTATTGCCTTAGTTCCAATTATTTCTAAAATATTCGAGAAATATATCCATAAAGAACTTAATAACTATTTAGAAAGTAATAATATTCTAGCAAAAGAACAAAAAGGTTTTAGACACAATAAGTCCATAAATATGGCCATATATGACTTTTTGAATTTTGTTATGTTTAATGTTGACAATAAAGTACCTGTCTGCTCTATCTTCATGGATATGACACAGGCTTTCGATTACGTTGAGCATGATATATTGATAGGTAAACTTAATGATTATGGAATAAGAGGTAATGTTCTGAAATTATTTGAATCATACCTCAAAGGCCGTCATCAATATACTGAATTGACTAGAGTGAATATCCTAACAAAAAAAGAAGAAACCTTTAGATCATGTGAACGTCAACTAAACTACGGTGTTCCTCAAGGAACCGTTTTAGGGCCATCACTTTTTATATTATACATCAATGACTTACCCAATGCCACTAATAACCCTATAGCTCTTTTTGCGGATGACAGTACAGTTACGATAAAATGTAAAGATAAACATACTTATGAGGATGATATAAACAACACATTGAGCTCAGTCATGAATTGGCTTAGTGCTAATAACCTCAAAGCCAACCTAAGCAAAACTAAATTAATGCACTTTAGACAGCGTTTACCGGCCCCAAATAACCTAAACATAAATTTTGACATGCAAACAATAGAAGAAGTAGACAATTGTAAATTTTTAGGCTTATATATCGATGACAAAATGACATGGAAGCCGCATATTCAACAATTATGCAAGCGAGTTAGTAAATCTGCTTATGCCCTACATACACTTGCATATAAAATAAACTCCAGTTCTCTTTTAATTGCGTATCATGGGCTGGTGGCATCTGTTCTCAGGTACGGTATCATTTTTTGGGGCAATTCCACCGACAAAGATCTTGCCTTTAAAGCACAGAAACGCTGCATTCGGGCTATGTTTGGTTTAAAATCAATAGAGAGCTGTGTGCCTTTCTTTAAAAAGCACAATATTCTACCTCTACCGTCGCTATACATATTTGAAATAGCTGTTTTCGTTAAACAAAATCCTCATCTATTTACCTTAGCATCTATAGCTTACAATCGAACCCAAAGGGATGAAAGTCATCTGTGTGTACCAAAAACGAGTACTGCCTTAATGTATAAAAGTGTCTTTCACATGGCACCAGTTATATTTAATAAATTGCCAAAAGAGCTTAAAAAGCTTAATTTTAATTTATTTAAACAAAAACTGAGTGATATGTTGTGTAAAAAATGTTATTATAGTGTATCAGATTTTTTATCTGATAAATTTTGACATTGTGTAATCGCAATTTTTGTGACATTATGTAACTTCATGTAATTATGTGACTTCTTTGACAATATTACAAATCATAATTAATTATTTAAATAATTTCTTTGACATTTACTTAATAAATAGTTTTTGACATAACTTTACTAACTTCTTTGACAAATTACTATAATTACTTATTAAAATCCTAATTAATTATTTAAATCTGAATTATCTTGACATTAACTTATTATTATTTTTTATTTTTGACATCCTGTGTTAATTGTTCTTATAGTAATGAAATAATTCAATAATTTATAATAGTAATTTAATAATGTAATCATTTATAATAATAATTTAATAATGTAATCATTAATGTAAAGTATTTCTTGTTCACTATGAGTAAGTTTTTGCTAGTTGAGTATAAAAAAATTTAATTACTTAATTCTTTTTTGTATGCCTATAGTAGGCAGATCATAGCGCACTGTAACCCCAAATATGACCAACCACTGTAACCTATGTATCACAAATAAAATATTTCATTTCATTTCATTTCATTTCATTTCATTTCATTTCATTTCATTTCAAATTCGACGAAAAAGGCCAGAAAATTAAATGTGGAAAGAAAATTCTTGGATTTTGCATCACGATAATGCGCCTGCGCACAAGGCCATCACTGTAAACAATTTTTTGTCCAAACACTCAACAAACACCATCGAGCAGCCACCATATTCACCAGATATGGCTCTAGCCGACTTCTTTCTTTTTCCCACACTCAAATTACCCCTTCGTGGCACCCGTTTTCAATCGTTAGAAGACATAAAGGAGAATTCGCGGCGAGCACTGAACTCAATTCCGGAAACAGCGTTTAAAAAAAGTTTCGATGATTGGATTATTCGTTGGCGTAAGTGTATCGTTTCTGAAGGAGCATACTTTGAAGGTGATAAAATAAATTTAGATGAATAACAAACATTTTGTGTATCATTGACTTTTTCCCGGTACTTTCTTGACAGAGTAGTATACCTATATAAGTACCAGATGGCATACCATCAGGTAATCCGTTTCCTCGTTTACCGACTTATAAAATGTGATGTGTGACGTAATCAGTTGATGTATTATTATGTGGAATCTTCAATGTACGTCGTCACGCGTCCTTTAATTACACATATATAAATAATAATGTACTTACTTGCAGATGATATTAAGTTTCCCCAGATCTGTGCCATTTGGTAGAACATGAAGAAGAGACCAAAGAACCGCACCACCAACACTTCAGCTGACACTCCTGACAGCTTGGCGTAAGGTTCAGCTACCTGAAAGGTTATATTATTTATTAAGCTTTAATTTTTTTATCACATGTAAAATATTTTCAACATATATAGACTTGATTTTGAGTTTTAATGAATTCAAAAAATATCTATAACCTATGTATATATATGTATATTGTAACAACATTTATCTCAAATCATGCTGCTTCACCTCGACTATCGCTAATATAGCATTTTGAACATTGAATGGTATGTACACTTATACAATTGTAATTAGACATCAGACTTTTGTACTGTTTGTAGTTTTAACTGTGTTTTTCAGTCAGTAGCCTGTCACTGAACCAATCTACTCATTAAAATGAAATAAAATATGTGGTTTTGTATTTAATTCTCTATTCTGCCTATAGCAAAAATATATATAGTCAGGTTTAGTAAAAGTTATAATCCTTCTAAATATCATTTGATAATGTATACATCTATTATTCTATGCAAAGCACACACCATTAGAAAAGTAATTAAAAATCATGCCGGTACCTTCATGGGGTTGACCCTTTTAATTTTTGAATACAATATATCATAATTCTAGCATAGGATATACAAAACTTTAATTAGCATAATTTTAAGGAAGGGTTACTGTTATTAACGCAAGTTAATTTCATTCGTAAGCCGACTATGTCCCAATATGCCATCATTTATATGCCAAACTTTATCATAAGACAATCAAAGGGTCCAAAATTAAATGAAGCTATACATATTCTTCAAACGTAACAATTCATACGAAAACATATTAGCTACTTCCTCAGGTATATATTAATATGTAAATACCTACATAAGCCTATGAATGATAATCGTGAATTGTATACGGGTTTGTACAAGCCAAAAAAATATAGCATACTATTTATAAAATGTACGTGTCTATACATTTTAAACACCTTCATAGTTAAGGTTTATACTTCGTTATAATCCTGTTTTGAATACAGCCTGTTACTCGTGTATTAAAGTGACCTCTTTGGCTCATAAACGTCGGTTAGGTCATATAAAACTAGTTTTTTAGTTCCTTAGTGAGCTTATCAAACCAGTATTAATTAGAATGACACGATTTATCAACATTTACTTTGTTAAGGTCGTCGTTTACAAAAAGCTCAGTTATGTAAGTATACTTAAAGTAGGAAATAGAATGTTAGATGCATACATATGAAATGAAACAGAAGAAATGAAAGAAAACAATAAAATGAGATTTCTCTTACGTTAAAACAAAGGCTGATAACGCATTCTAAAAAACTTTGTGCCGTCATCTCTCCCAAACTCTAAAGGTTCATTACCTTACCCATCTGGCTGTATAAAAAAGCTGAATATATGTCTTACCACGGATAAATACGTGCATTTGGCGCACCAAAGCGGTCCTCCACCAAATCCCACCATCATACCAGCTGGCACCAGGGTATACAGCCGGGGGTAGAACTGTGCTGCTATAAACGGCATATAAGCTATGAAAGATATAGCCACAGCCCACTTGCAGCCCAGCCATCTGTAAGGAAAATGGTTTCATGTTTTAAAATGGGCATAAGATATAGTCATTATCATCATCATCAGCCTATAAGTGCCCACTGCTGAGCAAAGGCCTTTTCCCACACGGAGAAGGTTTAAGCATTAATAATCACGCTTGTTCAAGGCGGATTGGCGGTTTCAAACTTATTTTGAAATTATAAGTCCAGGTTTCCTCACCATGTTTTCCTTTACCGTATGTCAGTGGTGTCTATATAATCATAGAAAGTACATATGACTCGGAAAAAGTCACATTGGCACTTGCCAGGTTTCGAACCCGCACCCTCATGCGTGAGAAGCTGGCGCCTTAACATCCGGGCCACCATGACTTTTTAATTTCCTACTGTTTAAGATATAGTAACTTAGATAAATAAAGTGAGAAAAACAATTTGCCCAAAGGCTTTAAGGTACTGTCAGCCGGGGTTGCGAGTCAGTCGTAATAATTTACCGCGGCCTCGACCAGGAGCAGGAGAACGAACAGACACTCCCTTTCACGCTACCTAGAGTGAGAGAAAGAATTTGGTGATTTTTCCCCCTCAAAAAATTATTATTAATAAGGCGTTGACTGACCGACACCGGCAGAAAACTGTAATAGCCAATCAATCCTCCACCATTGTGATTGCTTAGGAGCATAGAGGATGCAACCACTTGGTTGGGAGTGACGCCACAATAAGTTTACTTAAAATATTTTTGGATAAAATGAACACTTACTTGATGACAACAGCAGGAAGGAGAATATTAGACAGAATCAGTGAGAAATATATCGCTGCGAGAGTAAATGTTCCTGCGCCTGCGTCGCTGTTCACTGAGCTCTGGAGGTTGGCAGTTCCGTGGAAAGCGGTGAAGTGCACCATAAAGGCGAATCCCAGCACCAAAATGTTGCGATTTATTCGCCATTTTTCATTTGTGCCGAAGACGACTGATGCTTCCGGCATTGTAGGTACTACCTATTTGCTGAAATTTAAAAAGGCAGTAGTGAATTAAAAGCTATTGTACATTTTCTGTTGATATATCTACTTAGCCCACGTAATGTATATATAAATGAATCGCAAAACGTGTTGGTAAGCGCATAACTCAACAACGCCTGGATCTGTTTTGCTAATTCTTTTTTTGTTATGTTTGTTATTGTCAGGAGAAGGTTCTTATCAAAGAAAATATATGAAAAGTAGAGGGGAAAATTGAGAAAAAGTGAGTAGCGAGATGGTTGGACCCGTGCGAAGTGGGGGCGGGCTGCTAGTATCTAATAGATTAGCAAACTAATATAGGCTAGAAAAATACCCATATTTTGAGCTACTTCTAAACATTTTGGTTGAATGCTTTTGACATAATTAAATATTCATTCATACGGGCAAACAATTAGATATTTTAAATAGAACTATTATCCTATTAAAAAGGTAAATAGATATCACAATTCACAATACGTGCTTCGCTTCCCTTCTCTTAGTTTGCATTCAAGGATATCGGAATTAACTGATTGTGTCGATATCACCAGGGCAAACCGGTTATGTGCAAACAAATAACTGAAACAAAATGATATGGCCTATAAATGCAAGATATGTAATTGACGTATAAATTGGTCTAGAGAGTCTACAGTAGTTCAAAGCCGAAAAAAAATTGAACCAAGAATTCTCATAATAAATGTTCTATTCATGTAGTGACCATCCGACTCTAGACTCAATCTTTTTTATAAATTACAGGTTCCTTTAAGACATAATTAATAGCCATTTAAAATTATAACATACGAGTAGATAGGCAAAGAATATTGACGCTGATAGAAAACAGAGTTTTATTAAAAGTAATACTTACTTACATAAAACATTTTTAGCATGAACAAACGAATACCAACAGGGCAATAATTACATTTATCAATTTATTCTAAGCGCATAGACAATAAATTGTGAAAAAAATATTAGCTGATTAACAAGCTCAATAAATAATAAAGCTAAGGTTCATTATAAAATACTATTCGCACGGTTACAATACTAACTTAGTAACCTTGGCCCGCCGTTCATTTAAGGTCGATTGTTTGCACGACCTAAATTGATCAAAGCTTAAATTAATTTTGCACTTCACAAATAGATATATATGAATCATTCATTTAGTAAGCTCTATAATTACTTAATTAAATACATAATGTTGTTACTATTTCTTATGTCAAGCCAGTCTTACTATTTGTATTTACCTAACTAAGTAACCTATCTTCAATACTTATCATCATCAGTATGAGTCTATAAGTGCCTACTGCTGAGTAAAGGCGTCTTCTCGTACGGAGAAGATTTAAGCAATAATCACCAAGCTTGCTCAAGTGCTCAAGGCGGATTGACGATTTCAAACTTATAATTAAAAACTATAGGTCCAAGTTCCCTCACGATGTTTTCCTCGCGTAAGTCAGTGGTGTCTAAATAATGTTACAAAGTGGGTACAGGAAAAAGTCACATTAGTATATGTCAGGTTTCCCATGGATGAAATATAATATAACTTGCCGACAACAATATTATTTCTCCAAAATCTTAGTTTTTATGTAACTGAGTTAATTATGTCACCAATACCAACACGTAGACATGATAAAAATCATTATTTATTCGATGTGAGTAGCGTTACGGCAATCAAATCAGTTCGTTGTATGTATTGTCATGCTAAACATACGCCAATATTGCGTATCGATCGATCGACATTCGTGAAGCAAATTACCAATTTTAAGATGTATAAGATCGAAATCACGATTTTGATGAGTCGAAGACACTTAGGACCTATACATATATACACGCACATATACAGCTTAACAATATGCTGCCATCTAGTATACTGTTTCCTGGTATAATTGTCACTTAAGTATAGTTATTTCAAACTAACTTCCTTGATCAATGTATACCATCCAACTGACAAAATGTTATTCCTTCGTAGATATCTAAGTGTTGTCGTCGTGGCCTAAATATGGTCCAAAAATAATAATGGGCTCGAAACCTGGCAAATATCAAAGTGACTATTTCCGGGTCATATACTTATACATTCTAAGATTACGTAGGTACCACAAACAGGAGGTGAAAAGGTACACCAATTAGCTTCCAGAATCGCCGTGGTGTTTAGTACTAAAACTTTCTACGTGTGAGGTAGGGCCTTTGCTCAGCAATTGGGACGTATTAGCTAGCGATGATGATAGTGATTTTAAACTAACTCAAAAGTATCACAGCTGAAAATACCAGATGGTAGAAACGATGACTTTTGAGATAGATATACATATAGTATTATCTCAATCTATTCAGTATTCGTTTGACAGATATCAACCATGATAATAATATTATGTCACTACATTACTATACATTGCTTATGTTATTTATAATTATAGTTTTTATGGCCTTGGCAATTGTATGCTTATTTCAATACTTTGCGCAGAATACGAGTACTATCAATAACGAACACTACATCGATTAGTTATGATTGATTCGATTTAAATTGGTAATTCTGTGGCGGTGATGTATGACATACATATAGGTATGTATTCTTTAAATATGTACGTTTTATATTGTGTTTATTACTTAGGGACTGGGTTACACACAGATACTTGTACTAGGTATGGTAAGTTTATATGTTACGCTTATAAGTTACATATAAAATAGTAGTTTTTTTTGTGAGGGGAAAATTATGAGATGACTTCTCCCGCCCAGGGCCGGGCAGGAGGGAGTGTCAGACTCTTACTGACTAAAAACCCCCCTGTTCCTTCTGGCCGAGGTCGCGTTGCCTCATTGCGCTAACCTCGCAACCCCGGCAAAATAAAATAGTAGTTGGAGTATAATTTTGTTTAACTTTAGTTATTGTCTATTAGAAGCTTTTTTGAGGGGAGATTATAATCATATATCAATTTTGGGACAGTCATGCTTCGGCACGAATGGGTCGGCTCATGACCGGAGCGATACAACAACAACCACAGCGTTATGTTTCGTCGTGTGAGTGAGGTTACCGGAAGCCTAATCTTTCCCCTCCCCAATCCCTCCCTAATCCCTAAATCTCCAAATCCCTAATCCCTAATCCCCAAAAGGTTTGGAACGCACTCGTAACTCCTCTGTTGCGGGTGTCCGGGCAGCGCTGATTACATACCATCAGGTAATCCGTCTGCTCTTTTGCCGACGTATTACTATTAAAAAATACCCTTCCTTCGCCCAGGGTGGGGCAAGAGGGAATGTTAGTCTACCAAACTATAAACCACAACAACCTTATTGAGTTTACACCCGAAGCCACGGAATTATTAGCGGTATTTTCTAATACACATATTTGTAATGTTGCAAACGTTGAACATGAAAAGCTTTCACCAAGCGCCTGTTCTTATTAGGTACATTGTTGCTAATTATTAAATAACACTCTCATTGTGTGTAGCGCCGTCCTATCAATTAGCAAAACTAGCATAACCTACGAACAAAAGGGAAATGTTCAGAATTACTATTAAGTGAATTCATCCAAAACAAAATTATCTTCCTAAACCCCGTAACCCGGTTGTTCGGAGTTTTTTAAACTTTTTCTTTAATCATTGCTATTAAATCAAGCGATAATAATACATTTAGAATCATGAAATGTATGTATATGTAAAAAAATAAAGTTAAAAAAGGAGTTTGTTATACATAATTAATTAAAGTTCAAGTATCGTATCATGACTCAACGATCCTAATTAAAAGTAGATAAGGAAAAAAATGTTTCTTGTCTTGTTAGTTTTTGTGGCCTGTGCTAATATTATACTCGTAGTAAGGAACTAAACATAATAACGTTTACTACACTAGCGAATGTACAACTTACTACAAACGTAACTGAATTAGCTATAGTAAAGTATTGAAATTGTTTTAAATTTGGAGTAAAGAATAACTTAAACTCGTTGGTAGGTACAGTTGGGTGAAGAAAAACGTATAAATACGTTTAAGAGGTTTTTCAAATCACACAAATGGAGGTTTCTCTTCTATTTAATGTAAAATTAATACGTCTACTTAGCTGATATTTAGAGATAGAGCCAAGTTCCATCACCAATGAATTGGAGCGAGTGGTACCACGCCCTCACAGAAAATCGGCGTGAAACAATCATTGTTGTGTTTCGCCGTGTAATTCAGGTTACAGAAGACACAATCTTTCCGCTCCTTCAATCCCTAAGTACATGGCATTCGTAACGCTTATCTGTTTCTTATCATCAGGATATATGATTGCACGTTAATATAAAAAAGTAATACGTATTCATTAATCCAAACTCGATCGTGGACTACGAGGTGTCTACTATTCTGAAAACCTTGTTCTTATTTCGACATAATTACAGGACAAAGACCTAACTAACGTAACAAATTATACGCTAAGTAGTTGTCAAAATATAGGGCACTCATCCTTGATTGGCAGAATAATAGGCCTGCTACCAATATTACGATCTCAATTACAGTGACACTAAAATTACTATATCATTCTGTGTGTGACAAAAAAATCTATTATAATTACATGTATTATGTGTATATGTTAGTAGGTTCCTACTTTTGGCCTCTATCAATAGATACATAGACTTGAATTACATAAGACTTGGTCGACATGTGCTAGTTTTTATTATGCCTTGGACTAATAAGCTAATGAAATTGCAATATCATATATTGTAAAAATAAATGAATTGATTTGTTACTGTTTGCCTAGTACCGAACGCTGATTTCTTGTTCTGTGATTTGATAAAATTGAATGACTTTATGTTAGTGTGACCTAAAATTACTTGACTATTTTTGTATCGTACTTATATTTTTGTAACAATTTTACTATGGACTAAGTTCAATCGATTTAATTTTCAGTACCATTTTTTTTAAATACTAGCGGCCCGCCCCCGCTTCCCACGGGTCCAACTATCTCGCTATCAAAAGGTCACTTTTTCCTAATCTTCCCCTCTAGTTATCTAACATTTTCTTTCATAAAAACCTTCTCCTAGCAATAACAACA